AAATGAGGCCCTCCCACTACAGTCCTTTACTTTTCCAAATACTTTAGAGATTGAAGTTTTCAAGGTGACCCTGAATGAGGACCAAGAATTGGAAGTCCTGAGTTCATTATTGAGAGGATAGTAATCGCCAGAGAGTGTGAGCCCAGGTACATGCATGGCTTCAGAGCATACTAACCTCTATGGTTCTTTTTGGTGTTATTTGGTAAACAATTAAGGGACTCTTGAAATAGCCCTATGTAATTAAGCATTCATTATTTATGGGAAAATTATTTTTAAAATTTGAGATTAGCACAGTATTTTGATGTGATCTAAGTTTGCAATAACAATAGATGTGTGAACCCATCTACCCAACAGCATGCTGGACCATTTGAAGGAACATATTTAGTGCTGACCATAATAATGACAACGGTAGTGATACTTAAGAAGATGGCACTTGATTAAATAGATTTGGATGTGTGGCAGTTGCTATAGATAGATTCATTTCACATTCATTCACTCAATTTCTTTTCCATCTTCTTTTACTACAAAAGTCAGAATGATACCTTTATTCAGCTTTCCAGCCTCCCTTGAAGCTGAGAGTGACTCCAATGATGAAGATTAGATGGTCCGAACAAAAGGCAGGCATCTCAATCAGCCAGAGGTCCTAGAACTTTGTTTTCTTCCATTATTAACCATTGATGTCTTTGTTATGATCTATGAGCAGCCATCTTGCAACCATTAGATATAGATACATATGCTTAGTATGATGGAGAAAATAAACAAATCTTTTATCCTATGTGACCTTGGAGATGACATGTCAGCCCAATCTTATCTGCCTCCAAACAACTCTCCAGGAGAAAAAAAAATAGCCTCTTAATGGTTTAATCTACTATTTGTTAAGCTTTCTATTTCTCCCAGAAAAAAAAACACATTCCCAGCTGGATATAAAAATTGCTAAGATTTTACATTTTATATTTCTGAAGAATAAAATTAATGTCTACAGATCTTCGTAATTACCAATCTTAGGTTGTAGAATTTGGCTAATTTGTATAAATATTCTCATCTTGAAGATGTTTGGGTGTGAAAACTTGGGATAATTTGTAGGATTTGAATTCCATTGCTTATTGCATGAAGAAAAACATGAAAATCTAAAAGTTTCTGTTTTGTATTACCAAGAAGAGATTTCACATTTTATTCAATGGAGAAACTTTAAGAGGGAAACTCTATTTCTGTAAGTCACACCTCCTACTTAGCTTTAACTTTGGTAAGATGCGGAGACAGCTGGAGAATACCAATGAGCCTTGAAAAAAAATGTGTTCTCCCACTTGGATTAAGAAAAATGTCTAGCAAGGTTGGTTGCCCTCTTTATCAGTTAACAAAGGCTTCTTTCTGACTTTACACTTTTATAAAACAAGCAATTACTGGGTGGTCATTAAAAGTTAAGGAAGGATATCCATTTGTAGTCAATGGTAAAGGAAGGCAAATCAATTTTTTTTCTGTAATTGGTGGTACAATTGTATTTTTTCCTGCAATTGTATACAGTTCTGAGGAATAAGACACTGGTCCTATTATGTACTATATACTTAGGAAACATTGTCCTTTTGTTGTTCAAATTTATGTCTATGGATTTTGATTTTTTAATAATATGTATGATTAGTACCTACGAGCAGATTCTTACCTTAAAAAAGAATAAACGTGATTTTTATTTTGCCATTTGCATGTAGGGTATTGGTGAAAAAACTAAAATAATTGAGAGCTTATTTTCTAATTAATGTAGGCATTCTACTTAGGAGCTGTTTATTCACATCAGGAAGTATAATAGAGGTGTTTGGTTAAATTCTTTTCCCATTAAAATGGGATGAGGCAACAATTCTCACCACAGTTCAGAGGTCTATTACAAGAGGAATGAAATAATGGATGTGAAGTGCATTAGTTTTCTCTGCAGGATGTTACATAAATCCTAAAAATAGCATTATACATGTGTAAACAAGAAGATGGATGATAATTTCCAAATGTGAGTTTCATAACGTAGGATTTTGAGTGGAGTTTTCAAAGGTGAGTTACACAGCAATGCAATGTTACCTTGTGCATTGGATTCTCAAAGGTAAGGAAGGTTCATTATGAGGGAAAGTGTAGTGATTTATTATTTATGATTTATTAAAGCTTTTCTTAGGATTCAGAAAGCAAAGTCAGCCACAAGCCATAGAAGCCAGGCACATACCTTTATTCTCAGCAACCAGAAGCTAGGAGGTGGTGGTGCACACCTTTAATCCTAGGACTCAGGATTAAGAGGTAGACAGATGTCTCTGAGTTCAAGGATCACAGTGATATATGATATTGAGTCAATTTAAAAGAGTAACAGATCACATGCCTTTAATTGCAGATATAAAAGGGATATAAAAGATAGAAGCAGAGTCTTCAGCAGTCATTAGATGAGGTCTTTGTTCTTCAGCCGCACTGAGGAGAGGCTACAGTCTGAGGCTTAATGAGAGCTTGTGGAGACAGGGTCAGCCCATTCAACCTGAAGTAGAGGTAAGAGGTAGTGGCTGACTGCTTTGCTTTTCTGATATTCAGCTTGAAGTTTGAACCCCAATATCAGCCTCTGTGTCTTTTGTTTTTCGTACAACAGGAAAGAGAATGGTAATTTATTGAATGATGCAATATAACAATAGCTTTACCCAGATATGGGAAATAGTTTTGGTTTCTTAAATAATTAAAGAGGAAACTCTTCTCCAAATAGCAATCTCAGTGACAGATATTGAATAGTAAACCTAGAAAAGAGCTTCCAATAGTCACATCAATTACTTGGTGTGATGGGGGTATCTTTAAAGAAAAATAAAAGCATCTATTTTAATTATGTGTATGTATATATGTCTGTGTATGAGTTTGTACCTGTACATGCAGATGCCCACAGAGGCCAGCAGAGGGCATTGCATCCCTTGCAGTCAAACTTGCAGGTAGTTGTGAGCTCCTTGTAGTGGATGCTGGAAACTGAACTTGAATCTTCTGCAAGAACAATACATGCTGTTAACCATTGAGCCAACTCTTCAGCCCTTAATAAAATATCCTTTAAATTTATTAGACTTTTGAGACTTAAGTGTTTAAGGTACCTGACCAGCAAGGTTGTGGTAAAAGTTGTACCTTTGTGGAAGAATAATATCTCTTCCTCATGTCAGGTTTTAGACGATGAACAGTTAGCCGTAAAGTGGACGTGTGAAAATGACCAGGAAATAGGAATATGGAAGGGATGCTGCTTTTCTCTGTGTCTTATTGCCTTGAGCAATTTATTGAAAATAAATGTTTGGGTGTGGGTTCTCAAGTAGCAGATGTTAAAGACAGTAGCTAAAATGCAACAAAGCTGGTCACTTAATAAGGCAAGGTCATACTTTGTAAGTTGGATTGTTCATCGTGTGTGTGTGTGTGTGTGTGTGTGTGTATGTGTGTGTGTATGTATGTATTCGTGTGTGTATGTATTCGTGTCTGTATAAAAACGTATATGTGTGCATGTATGCGGATGTCAGAGGACAACTTCAGGGGTTGGAACTTGTCTTCCACCTTGAGACATGGTTGATTTGTTGTTGTTGCTACATTGTCCAAGTTAGCAAAGGTTCCCCTCTTTTTGCTTCCCATCTGGCCTTAGGGACACCAGAATTCCTGGTGTGTGCTACTGTGTGAGATTTATGTGAAATCTGGAATCAAATCCGGTCCTCATGCATACATGGCAAGCACATTACACACGAACCCATCTCCTTGGCTTTGATCTGCTTTTGCCTTTCTTTGACTGCCTTCATGAGAATCAACATGAAAGTCAAATTCAATGAGATGCTTTGAATGGGAAGAAATGCACTCTAGCCTAGCCCCATCCTTCCTGAGTAGCAGTTATGAGTAGAGAAGGAAGAACTCTTAGCAGAAGATATGAGGGAGATAAAGGTGAGTGATAGGGAGTTGGGTCTGCCAGATTGCACTGGAAGTCCAGCTGTTATTTTCCACATTAGGTTTTTACATCTACTATGTGCCATAGCAATCTTTTTTCTTAGTCATACAACAATATGGAAGAGTTCACAGTGGATTGGGGGAGGAGCATGGGAGCCCTGGGCTGCCTTTTTTTTTTTTTTCATCAGTGCAGCTAACATGCTTTGTGGACCTTACAGCCATCCGTGGACCTGGGTTAGAGTAGAGACAGTTCTAGTTTCAGTCCATAGATTCTGAAGTTAGCATGCTTGACTCTAGTCAGGGCATGAAAGATGAGAGGATGTGATAGTCCATTCCTGAGACAGGCATACATCCCTACCACTTAAATCATTACTTGGATCTCTCAGTCTTATGATGGAACTCCAATTGAAAGAGTGGCTAGGGGTTTTTGTCTGGCTATGTCCAGAGATGAAATGGTTTTGGTAGGCAGCTAATACTTTGTTCAGGATAGCCATACTATGGATTTCATAACCTCTTTCTTATGCTATTTTCCTTCTGTCATGATTTCTGTATGATTTCTGTCATGATTTCTTTGTTTAATCTTCTCTATTGCTAGATGGTACATAATTCAAGCCTTTATAAGAAAGAATGTGTTCAGGGTAGAACTTTTGAAATGTTTTACATCTAAATGTATCCTCTGATGGCAGGTTTAGAGGAGTTCACAACACCCAGATAAAGAACTAACAGGTATTTATTACAGGAGCATTCATACAATGATGGTAAATAATCGCTGTGGTCTTCCTCCTCCTGGTGATGCAGCCTTGGCCCTTCAGGGGGCTCCACCTCAACCCAAGAGAGCTCCAATCAGTCCCTCCTCTTCTTTTTAAGGGGTCACATCCTCACACCCGAAGCCACACCCTAAGGTGTGGCCACCAGCCCAAGTCACTGTGGTAATAAGATACCACCACAATCCTCCTTTGGCACCCAGGCACTGGAACCTTACCCCTCCCTGCCCCGCCCCCGTGCGGCCTCTGGAGCTTGGGGAAATGTCTCCCGAGCTCCATGATACCTTTCCATCTGAGCTGTGTAACACTCAGTATTTTGTGACTCCCGAGTACCAGAATACCTGTCCCACCCAATCTGCCTGAAATGCCTAAAGACAAGGCAGGAGCGTCCTTCTATGGAGAACAAACACTGCACTACATTGAAACAAATGGAGAAAGTGCTGTAGTACAATTACCAAAAAAAAACAAAAAACAAAAAAAGGCCCAATTTATGATATGGTTTGGAATTCTAGGTCTACTGAGTTTTGTGCTGTTTATGGTTTTACGCCTGTGAAAACAAGTTTTCAACCTGAAGTGTGATCTTGTATTTGGGACTGGTCCTTGCATTGCAACCTTCTATAGCTCTCATGACATTCATTAGTACTGGCTGGATTTGGAAATCTTCGTGGAAAATGGAAGTATGGAATGTCAAAAACGACAAACTTATTTCTAAATCAATGGCCTCTAATTCTACGTATTTTGCCTGGTGTCCAGATGGTGAGCATATTTTAACAGCCACATGTGCTCCCAGATTACGTGGTAATAATGGGTAAAAGAGTTGGCATTATGATGGCTCCATCTTGCATGAGTATGATGTGACATCAAATGGAGAATTATGGCGGGTTTCTTGGCAGCCATTTTTGGATGGGGTATTTCCAGCAGAAACAATGATGTACCAAGCAGTTCCAAGTGAAGTACCTCGTGAGGAACCTAAACCTGCAACAGCATATAGACCTCCAGCCTTAAGAAATAAGCCAGTCACTGATTCTAAGCTGCATGAGGATGAACCTCCCCAGAATATAAAACCTCATCCAGGAAGTGACAAGCCACTATCAAAAACAGCCCTTAAAAATGAAAGGAAGCACGAAGCTAAAAGAGCTGCAAAACAGGAAGCAAGAAGTGATTTGGCTCCTACTCCAGTCCCACAGAGTGAACCACGGAACACTATCACCCAGTCTGCTTCAGGTGATCTAGAAGTCGACAAAAAAAAAAAAAGAAAAAAAAAGAATCTAAAGAAGAAACTGCTGAAAGAGCAGGCAGCCTCTGGGAAACAGCTAGAGAAAAATCAGTTGGAGAAAATTCAAAAAGAGACAGCCCTTCTCCAGGAGCTTGAAGATTTGGAATTGGGAATTTGAAGATTCACAGAAAGCAAATTTGCTGACCGGAACCAATCTAAGCAAATCTGTTAGCCCCACGGTGTTCATGGAGTCTCCATGTGCCCGCTTTTAACACCATTTGTCCATGTGTGATTATTTAATGATGTCTATTAAGTTGACTTTTACATCTGCACCCTGTATCATGTCAGTGTGTGATAAGAGAGATGATTTTTTTCTTCAGGTAAACTTAACAAATTGATAGACATTTGTTTTTAATACGTAACGGTATTTCCTATATAAATAAATAAAGACATTATAAATAAAAAATAAGATGTTGATCCTTTAAATGTGATGTTTTATTTTGAAATTCTTAGTTCTATTCTATTACCAGAAACTTGAAACTTCAATGCAGTGTGCTTTGGAACAGGTTATTTCTTGGTGGTTTTATGGATCTCCAATTTTCTTCAGCACGGGGAATTTTTTTGTGTGTACTGACTATTGTGTCAGTTCTCAAGTGAATTCTCCCTGCAACTTAGCATTTCAAATCAGGAAAACAGGATATGGCTTAATTCCATTGTGTCTTCAATGGGCAAATAGCAGTCATGACTTGATTATGAAATGAAGGTGTCTGATAGTATAAAAAAGTACCAAACCAACAGTAAAAAGTCTTAGAGTCAAGGAAATGTGGAATGTTCCTTTTGTTTTTGTCTTACTAGAGCTTCAGTGACTGAATTCCATCTGACCCAATATTCTTTAGCTCTAAGATACAATATTACTTTATGCATTATTAAGACAACATTACTGATGAACTGTAATATTTACATGCCATTTAGGAAATTAATTTTATTTTTATTGACAGAATTTGTTTAAACCTAAGTAAATATGAACTGTCTCGTACATCTGTCTCCTATGAATGTATAAAGAAAGGACACAATAAAGTAAATCAGATGAGTTATTCTTCAAATGTATTCATTATTCAGAGTTTTAAAATTCACATTCAGAATCCCTCATCTCAATCTCAAGCCATTCATACATGAGTTTATTCATGCAGAACCACTTTATGTGCCACCAAGAGTTCCAGTCCTGAAAAGACCCTTAGCCATTACGTTGATCAGGCTTGTTTTGTGGTTGCTCCTTAGTGGGTGTTGTTAAACATGTCTGCTTCCCTACTGCTCCTGTTCCTTCTGCACAAGCATATGACTACAGGGTGTAAAAATGTCCCTTTATTGTCTTTTGCATTTTCTTCCAGCCAAACCAGCATTCATTCTGCAAGTTTTGATGAATGTGCAGACCAGGCCACCCACCAGGCCTCTGCTATCTTTCTAGTGGCAGGTGTGACATGCCATTTTCAGATGTGCCCCCATTTCAGAGCTGTAATAATACAGAAATTATACATGCATTTAGGATCAAAATCAATTATCTTTTACAATGAAGTTTCTTACTCCTTTACTATAGACCTTAATGGTGAGGGAAGAAGCATTTGAATTTTCTCAAAGTAAAATGGAAATGGTCAGGGCCCCTGGGATCCCTCTAAAGCCTGTGCTGTGGGAAATGCACTCCTGCTGAGAGGCCATGAAAACATGAACTGGAAGGCTATGAAAACATCAACTGGAGAACCATAGCTTTGACTGAGGCTTCCCTTGTACCTCCATGAACCGTGCCTGCAAAGAGTAGGAATACATTTGCAGCTGTCCCTTTGCACAGATTCACAGGGATGTCGTGCACATGACTTTGATGATTGCAGTTTTCAGATTCCTTAGTAAATATCCCAATGCCAGGGCTTAAACTTGCAGCATTCAGAGCTACACTCATGTAAAAGTCTTTTTGACACCACATTTCATTACGAAAAGATTGTACCAATGTATACCATCATCAAGTATCCACCAGAGCAACCACTCCCTCACTTCCTGCTAATCCTAGATGCCTTTGGCCAATTTGAAGAGACAGAAATAATCTCCTAGCTGTTTTCAGTTTGTTTTTGCTGAATTCAAGGGAATCTGAATTTTTTCTTGATTTGATGTGTTGTCCCTGGAGTGTGAACAGTGTGGCTTGGAATGGCACTTTGGTTGGTGGCAGTGGCCAGCATCTGGCTGACCGGGGGATGAGTAGTTACGGCTTTGGAGTCTAAGGAGGGCTAGTGAATTCTGTGGCTTATGCACCTCAGCCCCACTGGTATCCTTTCCATTGCCTTACCTAAGTGTTGGATTCCTTCCAGGCACTACACTTATTGTTACTTTGACCACTGTATTCATGCCAAGATGGAGGCATAGTTTCCAGAAAGTATGACCTTCAGCTGATTCATAGACTCTATGGCCTAAAAGCAACAAGCAGAGGCTTACGTGTTCTTTGTGTCAGTAGAGGTCAGAAGGAGGACCTTCTAAACCTGAAGAAGAGTATAGATATTTGAAGGGTGTGGGGCACAGAGAGAAAATAGGAACTCCACGTAATTGGAAGGACCAAAGAGACACACTGGAAAAGTGGAGTGAATTCCGGGTATGCTTAGAATGTGAGATAGAGGCTATGTTCTTTACCTTAATAGTGGTTAAGGGACCTCTGGAATCTTTGGGATCTTGGCTTGATCAGGTGTGATAGATGCCATGTTTTAGGAAAATTATCAAAAACAGGTGGGGACAATGTGGAAGGTTTTATTGTTGGTTTCTGCATGGACTTGGTGTGCTGATACTACGTGTGGCTGATAAAAGCTAGAACCTTCTCCACTGTGACTGATTTGAATTTAGGAGGTTCATGGAATCAGTTGAATTTGTGATTTCACAAGAAGAGACAACGTAAGAAACAGCACTTTTTGACAGATAGGTCAGACCTTTAGAACATGTATAGGTTATTACAGAAAGGAAAATTGTTTTTTTTTACTATGCCATGTTGTGTATGAAGAGGTTTTTGACATATAGACATGCAAAATGAACTCAGAAGGTGCAATAGATAGGTTTGATGTAAAATCATCTACTTTGACAAATTATAAAGGTATGTCATTAAGCCATTTTGAGTAGTAAAGTCACCTGTGATAGACTTTATATTAGTTTGAACTGTTAGAATGAACAAACAAATCTAAATCCTGCATATAGCTGATGAGAAGGGATTTTAAACACAAAACAAGGGATCTTAACATTAGTAGCTTGAATAGGATGGTTTCTAATTATGCTCATTGAAATTTAAACAGTATTTTCTGAAGCACAATTAATTATATTCTTAGGTATAATCCTTCTTGTCCAGGAAGTCATTTTCTAAATGAGTAACTTCTTCGCTATTCCTGCCTGGCAAACCATTCCTTTTCAGAGATGGTCATAAAATCGACATTAACAATCATTCTTCCAAGTGGGATGGTGAATGTCTTCTGATAATCCTTGGTTTGTTCTCTATTCATTTATGAATAGTTACTGCTGTGGAACATTTGAGTGTTCATAAAATGCATTTAAAATTGTAGCTCAAGAATTCAATTTTTATTCTTTCAGTAACTGCAGCCAAGGGCTGTGCTCACATTCAGTCTAGATAAGTCATCATGACATTCCTGAGTCAGCAGAGGTTGCTTGTAGAAAACTGGAAACGGGGTGGGAAGGAAGTGGTGTGGATGGCCTCCTTTACAAATGCAGTGACAGGGCTTCACCAAAGTGTTTTCATAAGTTTTGGAGTATTCCAGAACACCTAAGTCCACACTTTCTACTCTGCTCTTACAAAGGCAACCTTCAGTGCTTGTTTTATAATCATAATTCCTTTTTAAAGACTCAGCATTTTTTTAACTTCTGGATATCTTGTAAATAATATTTATTGGGTACCCTCAATGTGCCAGCCAAGCTGCTAAAGATTTAAAATGCTTTCATGCATAATTCTTACTGTGATTAAAAAAAAACATTACAGTATTCCAGCATCTGGCCACTGCAACCTTAGAGTCATAAACTATGGTCACTGATAAGGGAAGGCAGCCAGCAACCTGACCTGCTGTGGCTGGTCAGGGTCCCTTCCACCTCCTCAAAACCCGACCATCAGTCAAACCTTGATACATGAAGTGCATAGCATGCAGTATTTAAAACAATGTAGCTAAACAAAACAAAAGAAAGCAAAACAAAAACCCCACATTATTCTATTCATTTTGAAGATGAGGAATAGTCAAGCAATTTGTATGAGCTTATATTACTTTTCCAGTCTCTGCTTAAGACTCCATATTTTTTAAATTGTTGAGTTCATATGTTCCAGACACATAAGTAACTCCATACAATCTTTATTATGAATATATATGCTTAATTATATTTAAAGGTGAGTGGTTCACTTAGTCAAAGAAAATGGATTGGCCTTTCATGGAACTGGGATCAAAACCTACGTCCATTTTCCTTCAAAGCCTGCATTTTAAAATGCCACTGGTTTATAAAACTTCTTAAATATTATATTTTAAATAATTATTTTTTCAAGTGTTTTCTATGAAATTGTTTTGACACTTAAGTACACAGGTGGTACCACCTTTCATGTATGTAATGCTTTCTTATGGAAAGTCTACTAAATGCCTTTTAGCACTCTGCTAAATGCATCTCACCTTTGACACCATTGGCATATTAAGAACAATTTCTATTTGGACAGAGAAGCAGTCATATGTCCTCTACCAGTAGCACTTTACCAACCTTACTCAAGTTGTGATAACAAAAGTACCTCCAGACTTTGCCAAATATGCTTTCTTAGGATGGAGGGAGTCACCTGGAGTTGTAATGCATTACCTCATGCTATGAGCTTATATTATGAGCTCATACGGTTATTGTGCCAATTTTGTGTTGTGAAATGACTTGCTGAAGGTCACATTTCTGGGGAGTTTTGTCTCTAGGACTCCAAGTCATGGATATGACTTTGGACAGGTGTTGTGTTCTATGGACTGTGTCTTGTCTTCAAACAGAACTTGACAATAGTGCAGCACTTGGTATGTGTGGCATTCTCCTTTTCTTTTCCCTCCAAGGGTAACCAGACAAGTGTGTAAGATCCAGCAGCATTTTAACAGACATTCATTAGTCAAATGACATACTTTATGTAGGTCATGTTTAAGACTCTTTTATATAAAATATAGCTTAGTACAGTGATTAAGATGGCAGGCTTTGGGATTAGACGTACCGTAGGGTAACATCTCATCCTTGCTATTTATTGCTACTTGCTATAGGGTCTTGGGAAAGTTTTTTAAATCTCTTTCAGAATTTTTTCCTCATTTATTTAATCCCTCTTATGGATTTTTGTCAAGAATTCA